TATATTATCTCAATACTTTATTCCATGGATCAGCGATGTATGTGCCAAACTTTCTTGAAATTATTTTCTATTGGGAGAACATTATCCAGTTCCCTATCCGTTTGTCTATTATAGCATTCTTAATTGCAAAACAATAGACTCTAACCCGCGGCAATATATAAGGTGCGGTTAAACTAGAACTTTCGCACAAAGTTCCCCTCCGGGTGAGGACGAAACATGGAACTGGGGTTCGTGGAAACCCCATTTTGGACCGGATCCATGGACCGCCTATTATGGACCGGGTCCATGGATACTCTTTTAAGTAATTTAAGAAGGAGTCGAAAGGAGGAATGAACAATAAACAAGGCCCAATAACTCAGTATAACGTGACATAATAAGGCCGGTTTCAACCTACATAAATAGAACAAAATAAGGTATGGAGGTTTTGAGCACCAATATTTACTCCTATTGTTCAGCTTGGTGGATATCTGACCGTAATAGTCAATAAAGACAAAAATATTGCCTTGTATGCTTAAAAACTCGTTGAATTGGAAAATGGGGAAAAATTCATTTTTTTTTCTTATAAACCACTTTTGAGTGTTGTTTTTCCTGGCATGCCTGACACTCGAAGCTGAAATTACATGTTAATAGCAGCCGTTGATTGATGCGATATTCTGTTTCACTTTAGCAAACCGCTATTAATGTGAAAATCACAAAGCCATAGGACGTGACCTTTTCGTCTGTTTTTTTCCGAATATGTGATTGCATGTAGCAAAAACTTTTTCATGATTTAACAGTTTTTGTAATTTTCAGGATTCATGTGAATACATTTATTACTAGTTATAGCTATCGCTAAGTGCCAAGGAGCAAAGATTTTGCCTGTACGCGCACGCTGTTCAATTTGCTTAGAAATGTCACAAATTACCGTAATTATAGAAAAATAGTTTGAACGCAATTCGATTGCATTAGCGAAAATTACCTTGAACATAGTGAACTAAACTGTTCTAATGCATAAACAAATTGAAATCCCGACTTTATATAGCATATTTTTCGAGCTATTGAAATTTGTGTTTTTGTCTGAAGTTGCGGAGAAGTCATTTTGCGTAAAATTTAGAGTTCTTATAAGCGAACTTAGAATCCTCGAAAAATCATATTCATCCACGAATATTCAACGTACAGATTCATATTTGGTCCGGCTTTTTTAAAGCTTAGGAAGTCTACTTTTCAGAAAAGAAAAAAAAAGATTCACAGTACGCCGATGAAGGCTTCCGAATTATTTTGCCTCAAAGACATTAAATTTTGCGGCATTTCTATTTTTTCTTAGCGGCAGGCAATAAAAAAAACATCCAGCGGGAACATGCGACAGTAGCCTCCCACGCAGGCGTTTTTAGGGAAGCTCGTTTTTCATCCCTCCCCACAAACGCCTGCTCAACGGAAGACATCATTCCTTTCCCATGCTTAGCCAATCACATTGTACTTTCCAAATTCTGGAAAGTTGACATTGACCGCAAGGTAATCTGATAATTACTCGATCTGCATGAAACACTGGAAAGATTTTCTAACCTCCCATAAATGTTAGATTCAGAGCGGCAAAAATAAGATTTAATCAAATTTTAGAATACTCCATGCACTTCACAACCTTAACGAAGGAAGGAAAAAAACGAAAACGGTAACTGTAGGGTCACGTTTTAGTCGCGTTTAGCCTGTCAACACTTTATTGCACAACTGTTTATTGGTCGCTTACCACGCAAATAAAACAATGGGGAAGGAATGTTTCCAGCTGAGCAGGTGTTTGTGGGGAGGGATGAAAAACGAGCTCCCCTAAAACGCCTGCGTGGGAGGCTAATGCGACAGCCATTCGCGTATGATGCAAATGATACAAATGAATCCACCCGACGATTGGTTGAAGACGGGATGAGCACGGGACTCACAAACACGCGCACGGCTCGTGGATTCTCCGTTCTGTATCACGTGTTCACTCGAAAACAATGCATTCTCTGTTCTGCATTACTTCATAAAAGTTACCTTAAGGCTATCTATGTTAGATCGATTCGAGATTCATTCCGGAGGGTGTAATTTGGAGGTTGCAGTTTAGAATTTGAAAAGAAGTTAAATTTCCTAAATGGTTTACAGATCTTCCCGAGCCCCTAAAACAGGAAATTACAATGATGTTTTGGTGATATGTTCTTGACAGGGTTACGCAGAACCGAAAATTTCAAATCTCAGTTCCATTAATCGATCCTTTAGTTCTAGACCCTTCAAGGCAAGAAGGATAGTTTTAAATAATTGTTTGGAGGGAGTTAGATTTCGCATCCCTCTTTAGGCTGGAGGTGAGTTTTGAATTCAATGACTGGCCATAGTACCACACTGCACTATAAATCAGAAGACTGGTTCTCCTCGTATTTGAATAATCGTATTTAATCGTCCCACATGGTACCCCACATATCAAACATAGCCAACGTAAGTTGCGGTGTTCCCCAAGGATCTCTCCTGGGCCTATTGCGTTTTTATTGTATGTTAATGACATACGACAGTGCTCCAATAAACTTAAGTTTTATCTCTTGGCAGATGATGGGTAATTTAGCTGAACTCACACAAAATATAAGCCTTTAAACAGAAATGAATTTGCGCCAATTAACAAAGGGAGCTTTATGCCCCTGTACATTTTTAGGAATCCTTCAAAGAAACAAAAAATCTGGTGAATCCATGGGAAAATTAAAATTCAATGCATTTTAATTTATAGATTCCGAAGATATACTCATTAGGGCCATTTATACGAGGAAAAATAAGACGCGTCTTAAATAAGACGCGAACTTTCCGTATAAACGGCACATTTCGTCTAAAATAAGACGCGGCTTAGCTAAGACGCGTCTTATTAGATAAGACATGCTCGTATAAATGGTACAGTTCGCGTCTTATTTTTCCTCGTATAAATGGCCCTATTATCTTTTTTCAGCTAACCCTCCTACACAATTGGCAAAGTTTACAAGGCGGGAATTTACTGGCTTTTGAACTTGAGTGCGACGTTCGGTGTCCAACAAGTCTTATTTTCTTTTTTGTTTGTTTTGTTTAGCCGTGTTGTGCTTGATATACAATGAATCTTTAACTAACTATAATTTCTTTATAGCCAGGAATTATACTTGAAAAGAGAATATGAAAAATTAAGTTCAAAACAAACCCTATATACCAGTATCGGTAAAGATAAGCAATGGCAAATAGAATTTTGCTTTAACTTAAAAAGGTAGAGTCTACTTTCTTTGTGGAAACATCGTGCTGTCAGAAAAAAATTGAAGCTCGCAAAAAAAATATAGTGCGTTGAGGTGTTACTCACGGTCAATGTGCATTATAAATAAACTCAGACAGTCATTCAATTTTAATTTTCTTTTTGCAGAAACAATCTTCTCCATAACTTTGCATAGCAATTTGTCCCCAGCTTTTAAAAAACTTTTTAAAGTCTGCAAAATGGTCGTGGCAAGTGACAAGAGTTTTTTTCGCTTAAATCAACCAGTCTTGTTGATTCCTTTAACATTTGACGTGTTTGTCGATCCGTTCGATTGACCCCGTTTCAATTCTTCAATGGCCTGAGCGGTGTGGTTAAAACACCTGTCAACGTGTTTCCTTGTTTGGTTGATTTGCATAAGCAAGTCTGAGATCAATAAAGATTTTGCGTGACGTACACTTTATATGTCTACTTTCAAGTAAGCAAGAAACTTTGGCTCAATCCCGATGCTTCGCATAATTTTGATCCTGAATGGACTCGGAAAAATTTTATTCCTACGACCGCAATGATAATATATTTTATAGGTAAGTACGCCTGTCTATTGGGGCTACTTAATATTGCTTCTTAGGTTGAGCTGCCCTGCCAACTCCGAGTTGTGATGAAGTAGTGGTAAAAGGTGGTGTGCTGTGTGTTCGAGTTTACATCGCAACTAACACAACATTATATTCAAGTGTATAAAGCAAATCTTTACATATTTTTTTACTGATTCCCTGATTTTGCTTGAGTAAAGTAGTTTATCTCCCTTAAAGCAAATACTGAGCCACGATTAATACTGTGCTAGCAATCGCACATGAAAGTAAACGCCGATATAAAGTCCATCCCAGTGCTCTCGTTTGTAAAATAATGATAACATTATTAATAGCAGGTTTGTCTTTTGATTCAAGCATAGCCGATAAATCTAAATTCAATCGATACATAATTTGAAGGATATGCGGTGAACTGTCTAAAGAACAGGGAAAGGCATGTTAATTGGCAAGTTGTACTTCCAAAACAAACAATACACCTCGTGTTCAGTTCCGGCTCATGACAAATGGCTCTTCGGTAACAATTTGTTTCAGAATATTGAATTATGAGGTTTTTTTAATTTTTGTATTTCTCTCCAGTTTCAGCATCGAGATCCTATTTCCAGGTTCTTCTTCATAATATATGGTTGCTGCTGTAATTCAGTTGAGAACAAATTTTGCTAAAAAGGAATACAGTCTGCATTTTTCAGAACAAGGTTTTTCAAAAAGCGAACTTAATGTGTAATGAATAAAAAATGATTCTTTTTCGTAGAGATTTGACGGAGAGAAATTATCGTACAGACGATACTTAGCCTTTTTTGAACTCCTCGCATTTCAATGCTTTATATAATTCAAGAGGCCCGTAGGGACACACACTGTGGTGGATAGGGACTGAGTGCGTTGTTTCCTGGGGCAGAATGTTTGGAATTTCGTTTTTGAAATGAACCACCAGAATTCAAGGTCAACAAAGAAGATAAGCGAATAGCAGTATTCAAATGCATTTCTCAAACTCATTAATGATTCATGAAGTGACCAGGTAATAAATGATGTCTATTCTGGTCAGGTTGATGAGTCTTTGATACTCAATGAAACACCAGATGAAAACACGCCGTGTTTTGATATCAAAACACGCGTGTGCTCATATCAAAATTACAATAACAAAACCAAAAATATCAATATTGCCGTTTATTGTCATCAACTTACTACATTACTCTTTCTACATACGATATCATACAACATGGAGGACAGCGGCCGCCCTTCTTATTTGCGACCTCCTGGATAAATTTAGCAAGCCAGTAGTTGAACGATAAAAGCATCCATGTCCTCCAGATTTTCTTGACTAGTCCCTGTACGGCGTCTTTTCAGGCCTTCCTTCTTCTCGGTCAATTTATTTCGCTGACGTATCCGAGACGAGCGGCCGGGAAACTTTCTCGGACCACGTGACCCGAAACGCATCGGCAGCGCACAATAATGAGGCCTAGGGACTAGGCAACAGATTGTCCTAGACAGAACACACGAGGTGAAAATCGTAATCTTTGAAAACATTTCCAACTTCTAAATCCGGAGGTTTCAATGTTCTCGTGCTTTGCCATTCACGAAGAATTTCCACCATCCACTTATGTTTGTTCTTCGTGCCACTAGGTCTAGCAACACTGACTAAAGCAGACTGATCTTCTTTGACTGTTCTTGGAACTCTAAAACAGGAGTTAGCTGTACTTACATCCATCTCATCACAACCAGGCCAACTTTGAATAATTTCGATACTAATTTTGTAAACAATAGTATACAATACAAAAATGTATTACAACAATACAACAAAAGATGCTTTGAGAAGCCATATAAATAACTCGTGTTTCGGGTTTCATCAGGGTTTCCAATCACCTCGAAACACGGCCTCGTGCTTTCATCTGTTTCTCGGTGTTTGGAACCCCTGATGAAACCCTTGCACTCGTCGGTGATATATTACGTCCAACACATATGAGTGCAATAATGAAAACATCATCTCTGATCTAATTTCCAAGGCGCACAAAAGATCTTTTACCTCAAAAACTTCCTTGAAATAAATTATATAAGAAAAATTTCAG